GGATGGATGGTGAAGAGATTGAGATTGTTCACAGCTTTAGTTTGCTTGGCTCCACAGTCAACACTCTTGGCACCAGCAGCCAGGAAATTAAAAGACGTGTTGTGATGAGAAAATCTGCTGTTAGGGAGGGACCTCTCCAAAGTATTGAAGAGCAATGGTCTCACTCTGGGAACTAAGGTGCACCTGATAAAGGGCATGGTCTTTGCTTTTAAATATTAAATTTAAATTAATAGGTGTATTATGATATCTGATGAGAAAGAAAAAGATTTTTAATATATATAGATGTGATGTATGATGTGAGTACAAATGCATTTTGCAGTGTATATATGTACACATGTGTATATTCTGAGAACATGGCAGGATTTCAAGAAGTGTTCTTTGAATAGGATGATCAGTAGTTCATTATCACTCTAAATATGACATATATACCAATAAATACACAAACATATTTAGTATAAATGCTTAGGGCTATTAAGCATTATTTCCTTACATAATTACTGTTAATTTTTTTTTCTTTTAAGCATGGCTTTTTATGTTATGTCAATCATTGAGAAAATAAGAAACTGTAACTGTCGGAGATACAAATCTTATGGTGCTAGCAGCACAAATCTTCCTTATTAACACTTATTTCTTACTAATAAATAATATTAGAAAAGATAATAATTAATTTCTAGATTAATGTATATTCTTTCATCTTTATGTTTTAGAACATTATTATGGCCAGATTGGACAAAAGACGCAAAGGCGTTTTTGGACCACCTATGGGAAAGAAATGTGTAATCTTTATAGATGATATGAATATGCCTGCATTGGAGAAATATGGAGCTCAGCCTCCTATTGAATTACTACGACAATTTTTTGACTTCGGGAATTGGTAACTAATTAGTTGAAGTCTTAATAAGCCATGATGAAGTCACATTTGGCTCTCATTTTACATTTAGTTTTAAAATATTTTTTAACCTGTTTTCCTCCTGTAGAGAAATATGTGGAAGACTTTTCTGTGCTTTTTTGGTCATATTTTCCCTCTTAATGTGTGAAGTTTCTGGGGTCTTTTTTTTGTTGTGTGTTACTGTTCTTTTTGCCCTTCAAAGGTGGGTGGGCAGCACTGACCCTTTGAGTAAAGGGAAGCAAGGGTGGGGTGGAGCCTGCTCCAGGGGCTAGCTTAAAATCCTGCAGGGCCCTCAGGCCAGCCTTTAATTGGTTTTGGTAAAACATTCTTCTGGTCTTGTAACCCTGGTATATCCACTTGCTGTAAGAGGTAACTGTGAAGTCGAACACTGTGACACTGATGAGTCAAATGCGAGAATTGTTATCCATGGTGGACAGTGTTTGGTGGAGTTCCCCAATTAAGACAAGCTTGGAAACAGAAGTGGCATCCACTTTCATAATAGCTTGCTTCTGGAAACCCTATGAACCTGGAGAAAGGACGAAAGTTATACAGGTGTCCTGGACTTTTGTTCATAGGGTCGCTTTGAGTCACCTACGACTCGATGGCACTTAACAACAGCAACAACACAACAACAATGTGTGAGTTAGGCAAATGGAATAAAGAGTTCAGTACTGGAAATATCAGCTATAATATATTTATATTATAAA